AAATTAATTGAATTACCTCAAAACAGAAAAACCTGCGCATACCCATCCGTCTCTTGATACATTAATATATTCTAATTTTAGTGACCCTAATTCGCAGCAACCACAGAGAGCTTCACACGCGGCAAATTGATAAAGCAGAGTGAATGGAATTGATTATGAGATCCACGGTAGGCCCCGCCACGACTCTGAGCTTAAGTCCCTCCACACATCACTTACTTTGCTGAAATTTAAAGCAATTATAGCGATTCAACATATATATATAGTACTATCAGTATAGCAGAGTTAATTTAGTACTATCCATTTTCTGCTAGGAATACAGCGACGCATTATTCTGTTTCTGGGTACTAACAAATATTCGTAGAAACATTTTCACATGCAACCGGTTTGCTCTATGAACAGACTCTGAACAGGCTAAGCCAGACCCCGGTACTCAGGCGGTACGAGTAGTCCGGCTAGCTGACTACGATGTTCGGCGACGAGCAATCAGTATTTGTTTTGCGTTCGAATACGCCGGACCCTCGTTGCTGTTTGCTCTTCGTTGGCTTATAATTACGTCTACAAAGCTTAAGTGCCGTATGTTACTGGCAATTATTACATACATATAGATCGTGAGAAATATAATTAACTTGTGCATTCTGGAAGATCGATCAATCTTCAAGAACATTGCTAATTGAACACATTTCACATTGTAACAAGTTAAAGAAATGTGATCTTTGATCATTTATTCTATGTAATGTGGTGTAACTGAAAATACCACTCTCCACTCTATTAATCTCTTAGAAAATGTCACCCAATACCGATCCAGATGAGCCCTTTAATCCCAATGAGTTCCTCGTCATCCCGAAATGGATCAATGAGGATTATTTTCGACCCATCGTCGAGCAAGATGTGCCAGACTTTGTCAGCATCAAAAACTTTACGTCGATTGCAGCAACACAGCCAGGTGAAAACTATACATCGATTATGGTGCGTGTCTTTATAGACATCGAGCTCAAAGGTTGGTCAGCCAACTTTCTCCATTGTCAGCCAAAGCAATTAAGATCTCTTTCACAGATGGCACTGAGCAGAGAGTGTCGTACATATTGAAGACAATGCTGGAGGCCACCAAGGGAGGTGCTCTTGTCAATGAGATGAACTTGTTTCCTAAGGAGACTGAGATGTACCAGGTGCACATACCTGGCTACGAAAAGCTCTACAAGGAAGCTGGTGTTGACATTAAGTTGGCGCCGAAGTGCTTGGTCGTCGAAGTGACTCCGGAGCGTACAACCCTTGTCCTGGAGGACCTAAAACGCCAGAACTTCTACAACGTAGACCGCCTAAAGGGCTTGGATATGCCTCATATGAAGCGGGTGTTGCGTAAATTGGCAGAGCTGCACGCAGCCTCGGCAGTTACACGGGAGCAGAACGGACCCTTCTCCGAGATGTACTACACATCATTCTATCATGAAAAGAATCGTGATATTTTCGAGCAAATAGGCGAAATGCGCATGAAGCAATATGTAAAGGCCATGAGAGAATGGCAGCTACCGGATGTAGAGAAATACATTGCGAATATGCCTGCTCCAAGCGTAATGTTTGAGGAGGCACTAAAACTGAATAAGGTGGACGACACCGAATTCAATTGCCTCAATCACGGAGACCTGTGGTGCAATAACATAATGTTCGCCGAGAACGGAGCCGAGGAGCGCACCCTCTTCGTGGACTTGCAAGTGGGCAAGTGGGGCTCCCCGGCACAGGATCTCTGGTACTTTATAACAACGTCGGCAGCACTTGACATCAAGGTCAAGGAATTTGATCATTTCATTAGCATCTATCACGAACGTTTGGTGGAATGCCTGCAATTGCTGAAGTACTCAAAGCATATTCCCACGTTGACAGAATTGCACATCATGATGCTAAAATACGGCAAATGGGGTAAGTTGGCCGAGCAATCGAGACCAATCTAGCTATTAACCATAATTTATTTATTAACAGGTCCTATCACAGCGAATGGCGTTTTGGTTGCCATCATCCTGCCCTCCGATAAGGATTCAAGCATTGACATGATGATGACGCCGGGACCAGAAGGCGACGCTTTCCGCTACAAGACCTTCATCAATCCCTATTATGTCAAGGCTATGCTGCAGCTGTATCCTTTTTTCACCCATAAGGGATTGCTCTAAAATCATTATATAATTATGTGTGTTTTTTGTTACTACCTTACATATACTGATACTGGTGATACTTTTAGCATATTATCTAATACCGAAATAAAGCCTTTTCCTGTCGATAATTGTTATAGTCATTCTATAATAAATTTTATCATGATGTGCGTGTTTTTATGAAATCACTTCTAATCATGACTGGCAAAAAAATCAATGACTAATTTAAATTTAACTGATGTATTACCGAATCGATGCTCAAATACCCTTTCGTGCGTTAATGCTAAAGTTTGATTACTAAGGCTATATTTAACGGCTATGTTTCTAAGGCTATATTTAACGGAAACAAAACTTCAATAAATCAATATATTGAGATTCATTCATGAAATTTAAGTACTATCAATTGTATTCGAATTTTAGTTGATGGGGAAGAAAAACTTAAGAGAAATGCTACAAATTATATGATTTTTTTTTTATTTTTCAATTGTAAACAAAAGCTTCAGGCATATATTTATATATTTTCATTACTATTTCGGCTAACAATGAAAATCAACTCATTCATGCTCAACCGATTATTGGTTTCAATTGAGCTTGATTACCTCGCGAGCCTTTATAGAGTATTTTCTAGGGCTGTTGAATATTTTTAAAATATCGTATCGATAATATTTTAAGTTTTAAAAATATATATAAATTTTATTATTATGATAAAGACTCAAAATAATCATATTGCTTTTTTTCATAAGCGACGCCATATCTGATGTGTTATGCTATTAGGCACAAATTACATTTGGATATTCCGTTGTTACTCAGAATAATTCGTTTTCACCATATTCACTTGTTGTACTTTTTGCTTGGTGCACTTATCACTCAAATATATCAATAATATAAAAAAAAAAAAAAAATTTTTTAAATCGATATTTAGGCAAAAAATATTCCGATATAAATATATTTTGTATACAAAAAAGATTGATATATTCGACAACCCTAGTATTTTCGCAAGTGCTGATCGATTATTTAACTTATGACGTCAGTTGTTGAATTTATATCTCGACACGCGTCGCTTTGTACAAATGAGTTAAATAATTTATTCTAAAAAAAATTCCTGAAAGCCATTCTCAGCTTCGAACTGCTAACAGATAGATACGTACTTTAAGCAAACCCTATTACGTCGCATTTTTATGGTGTGGCTTTAACATAAACATAAAACATAAACATAAACATAGTACTCAGCTTTGTTCGAAAATCGAGTCGAAATTTGTAAAATAACCAACCATATTATAAGCTAATCAAATATAATCACGGATTATACTTCTTCTAATTATTTTATAATTACCGTAGACCCTAGACGAGCAAAGATTAGATATCGTAAAGATAAAAATCTCGTCTTTTCGTTTTGACGTCCTAGGTCTGGCTTCATTCATTCATTTAGAAAGAACTTTCTCGGATAAAAGACTTGAAAACAAGATAAGACGGCTATTTATATGTATAAGTAGGCGAAGAAAAAACTTGTTACCTGTAAACGATTACCTAAAAGTGTTTCAGGTAACGAAGTCTTTCTTGTCTCAATCACAACCATAAACCCATAAATCATCAATTTGTAACCATTTATTATCCTCTTGGCTTGAATGCCTGTTTATTTATCAACGAGTATTTCCATACCGCAGCTGTGTATAAAATTTCTTTATTAAGATAGTCAATATTATCAATGATATCAAACAAATCAGTTTTATTCATATAGAGTTGCTAATAAACGAAAATCAAATATCAATTGATTTGGCTATCAACTTGATTACAGTTTGCCGTCAATATTAATTGAGTGTAACTACATTGAATCACACACAAAGCTTAAATGGAATAGGTTTTTTTTAAAGATTTGGATCAAACAAAAATTCTTGAATAAAAGCATGACGAGCATTAAGAGTTGCGTTAAATCATACTGATACAGCAAATTGTTAAATTAAAATGATCTATTATATAATACACTGGAGTTATTTAGCACAATGATATCAATGCATTCAGATCAGTAACAGATAACTAAAATATATAAGTATGTATATACGAAAATAGCATTTGTATAATCTATAAAATGTTATGTAGTATTAAATGCGTACTGATAACAATATTTCACACACCGAAATTCAAATGCTCTTAGGGACCTATGGCAGCACAGCAGTATTAGATAATTAAATATTTCATGGAACTAAAGTTATGTAGAGAATGAAAAAAATATCGGTCAACATCCAAAAATATTTGATTTTTTCATAGATATAGATATTTGACACATGCATTCAACCTAAATATCTGTGAATGGGCCATGAATAGTACACGCGCTTCGTGAAGTCTCATACTTGCTAGCCATCTTTCAATACCCGTTCATAGAGTATAAAAAACGAATTTATCAACATACAACATTCCGTCGTAAGCTTCGCGAGCACACGCGCGCAGTACCCAACGAGACCTTTTGGGAAACAGGTGTGTACGAATTCGTGTCAAGATGTCGCAGTCAAACGGAATAGTTAATCCAAATGAGCATTTGAGCATACCCGAATGGATAACTGAAAACTATTTCAAGACAGTCCTCGAAAAGGACGAACCGGACCACGTAAAGGTACTGAAATTTACACCTGTGGCAGCTATACCACCTGGCGAAAACTTCACCTCCATAATGCTGCGCATATACATTGACCTCGAAATGAAAGGTAAGACACGCAAAAGCTTAGTGTGCATTTTAATGTTGTGAAATTCCCAAATTCAATAGATGGCAGCACAAAGACAAAAACCTATGTATTCAAGACTATGCTACCGAACGAGCAGGGCGGAGCTGATATTAATGCATTGGGGATCTTCCCAAAGGAGCAAACGATGTACAAGACATATCTGCCCGCTTTCGAGGCACTCTATAAGGCAGCCGGCGAGGACATTCAAATAGCGCCCAAGTGTCTGCACACAGAGCAGCGCGAGGGATTGATTCACTTTATATTTGAAGATCTGAGTACCAGGAAATTCCAGAATGTGGATCGCTTGAATGGCCTGGACATGGCTCACATGACAAGAGCCTTACGCAAGCTGGCCGAGTTCCATGCAGCCAGCGCTGTTTATGAGGAACAAAACGGTCCCTTTCCAAATGATTTTTTGGAGGGATTTGTTTCACTTAAAACTGAAAATTTCGCAAAGGAAGCCTATAAACTGCGAGGGACAGCCTTTAAAAAGTCTATGGAGACATGGGGTATGAAGGATGCCGAAAAATATATTAAAAACTTTGTAAGTACCTGAAGTATTTATATTAAAATTAGAAATAATCTATTTTAAATATACAGCCCTCTCTTGATGATTATTGGGCCATGTCCCTAAGCACTCTGGACGTTGATCCTCTGGATTTTAATACATTAACCCACGGTGATTTCTGGTCAAGTAATTTTATGTGCAACTATTTACCAGATGGAACATTGGATCAACTAATTCTGGTTGATTTCCAAATCTGCAAATGGGGAAATCCGGCAATAGATCTTTTATTTTTCATCACATTATCCGCTGCCAAAGATATACGCATCAAGGAATTCGATAATTTCATCTACATCTATTGGGAGCGATTGGTAGAGTGTCTAAAGCTCTTGAAGTATCAAAAGCCATTACCCAAGTTGAGAGAACTGCATACATCCCTCTATAAGAAGCAGAACTCGTTCTATGGTAAAGTTTAAATGAGATTTCCTGAGGCGGTCCCGATAAAATAGTTTTCTTCTTTCTCCTAGCCTTCTTTGCTGTCTTCAGTCATCTACCTATTATTATGTTTCCCAGTGATAAGGACTCCAATCTACATAACGTGATGGGCGAAACCGAAGAGGGCGAAAAATTACGACTACGTCTTACCTCCAATCCTACTTATGGTGAAGTCATGAAGGACTTGTATCCATTTTTCTACCATCGCGGATTGTTCAATTTTGACGATTACAAAACGGAATAACGTCCAATAAAAAATACATATTTTAGACAATAATTCCGCTTATCTTTGAGTACTTGTTGTCTAATCACAATCTTCAGTTAAAAGATCGCATGCAGGAAATGAGTAGATATGATATTCGAACTAAGTATGATGTCTTACCTATGATTACCTAGTATACTTACGCTCAGAAATGCAAAATTAATTAGATCTAAAAACGAGGCTAGATGAAAGTCAATGTCAATAAAATCGAGAGTAAATATCGGAGAACT